TGAGTGTTCACTGCTGTAAGTCAGATGCCCAATCTAGAAACAGGCAGGAGCCAACCATCTTTCCTTCTTTGCAAGCCTATGGTTTGCTTTTGTTTATTTAATTTATTGTCAGGAAATTATGCTTATACACATTTCAACATTTAATTATTAGGAGTACATATGGTAGTTCATCTTATATATGAAAACAAATGAAATCCAAGCCTACTAGCAAACGTATGTAAGGTTAAACAGGGAAACAAGGAGCAATCCACCAATCTGGGGTATGAAGTCAAGCCTGCTCCATTCTGCTCGCCTTAAAAAACAGATCTGCTCTTCTCTGCTACCCACAAAGCAAATATTTCTGACATGCTGAGAGAAACCTAGAAAGCCTCATCATTTTAAGTATGTATGAATATTCTATGTCAGAACAAAACAAGGCAGAAAACGAATCAGGCTTAAGAAAGACTGTAAGTTAATCAGACTCACCTTGCACTGTCTTTTAATCATTATATTTTATAATTAATTGTTCAACTTGGAAACTTTCATTAAGGTGGCCCTGTTGAGAGCTCACGCTGGAGAACACTTACTGCTCGGAGCTACAAAGAGATCCATGATATATAAAGATATTTTGCTTTTGGGTAAGTTTTTTTAAAGAAGAAATCATGCATATTTTATATGTACAGTATGTGGGATCTATTCTGCATGTACAAAGCACTCAGCCATTGGGAAATGGTGCTCTGATTTTACAAGTGTATGCCATTCATTTCATTATGTCTTCATTCAGCTCTAATGTGGTGTGTGTAATGTGTGAGTGCTTTTGCGCGCGCGCCTGTGTGTGTGTGTGTGTGTGTGTGTGTGTGTGTGTGTGGGGGTGTGTGTGTGCTTTTGCGCGCGCGCCTGTGTGTGTGTGTGTGGGTGGTTTGCCTTGGGCTATCAAGAACAGATTGCTGGAGTTGTTCTCCTCTTCAATCCTGTGTGTCCCAGAAATGGAATCAGGTCCTCCTGCTTGGATGCCACCATCTTTATTCAATGAGAGGTCTAGCTAGCCTTACTTTTCTTTGTTTTGATTGAATGTAAGTTCAGAGTGTTGTGAGATGATGCAGAGACATTGAAATTTAAAAATGTAATCGAGATTTTACTCCATAAGCCTGATACTGAATTTTGTTTAAAAAGTTTAAAGAAAAAGAATAACCATTTAAATGACTGAAGTATTGAATTCCCAAGTTCTTTCATTCTGTTATAGACTACTTAGTAGGCTAGTTAGTTTATAGCCTTCCAAGGAACATATTTATTTCCTATGATCTTGTTGATCACTATAAATACACTATAAAATAATTATATTAAAATGGTAGACAATGTCTGAGAAATTCTGGTAGTAGAATTGTAAGAAGCAGCAGAAGTAGAACAGAGTGAAAAGGGTAAAAAAAAAAAAAATGAGAAGACCCATTGTTTTCACTACAAATTAACTCAGCCCTATCCTGGTAACTCAAAAGATTAGGTTCTGAGTGATATTTTGGTCCCAAATGTAAACAAATGGGACACAGTGTAAGAGCAGCTAATATTTATTGAAGGCTAATATTTATTAAATGCTTTAATTTAAGTGCATTGTGCTAACATACACTCTCATTTAATCACTGAAATAAAACCCTACTGTCCTGCTCATTCTGCAAGGAAGAAATAGAGGAAGGGAATGTTTTGATCACGATGGAAAGCCAGGAAGCTAAGTCCTGGAATTCTAAATGGTAATGGAACAACAGAAAGTGCCTGGACCTCAGCTAAACACTTTCTTTGGATTTCTACCACACACTTCAAAGCTGTCCTTTCTGTAAACCATTTTACATTATACCCTGGAAAATAAGAATTCTATAGCCCATTCTTCATTGTTTTTTTCTTTAATAACTAGGTTAACTATTTTCACATGACAGAATAAAACACACATGAAGTTAACTATTTTCAAAGATGGGTATATTCCATTTGTGTGAGACTGTGGTAATCACTTCTCTCTCCACATATGTGTATATGGAAGCATTACATTTGCACACTTTAAATATACACAGTAATTTTGTCCCTCACATATCAAGAAAGCCTATGTGGGAGCTGGGAGAAAGGTTATCACTTAGGTGATTTTATCTTTTTTGAAATACAGAACTTTGGCAAGATACCTGAAATAATCAACTTAAAAGGAGGAAAGGTTAAGACAGGTAGTGGCACACATCTTCAATCCCAGCAGCCAGGAGGCAGAGGCAGGCAGATCTTTGAGTTCAAGGCTAGCTTGGTCTACAAAGCAACTTGTAGGATGGCTGGATTATACAGCGATACCCTGTCCTAAAAGAACCAACAAACCAAAGAAACAAAGGTGAAATGTTGATATGGCTCTAGTTCCAGGGGTTTCAGATCAGAGGTGCCTTGCCACAGTACAGAACACCATGCAGGAGTGTTTTGCAGTGAACACTGTTTATATCAAGAAGAGAGAGAAGGCTAGTGTCTCCATAGTCCCTTCAAAAGGACACCTTCAGGGTGGAGAGATGGTTCCGTGGCTGAGTATTGACTGTTCTTCCACAGGGCCAGAGTTTGATTCCCAGTACCCACAAAGTGGGTCATAACCATCTGCTATTCCAGTTCAAGGTGATCTGACACCCCTTTCTGGCTTCTATGTGTACCTAGGACCTATGTGCTGCACGAGAGACAGAGAGAGACATGCATACCAAACACCCATGGAGGGAAAATAAAATCTAAATTAAAAAAAAAGAACACACCTTCAGGGATATAACCCCTCCCTCTGGCCCCCAGTTTGAAAGGCTAGGCTTCACTATTTCCCAGTGATGCTGTTCAAAAATTCAATACATAATTTGAGAGATATTCAAGATCCAAATAATAATGATCACCTTCACCAACAGTGAGATAATTAAAAATATGCTCTCATATAACACCAGGACATAGCAATCTAGCCTTATTTTAGAAACTAATATAAATATTTACCATATTACAGCCAGAGGATATCTACGATAGAAAGATATGTAAGGATTAGCTGGTGCTGCTGTATCACATTTCTGAACTCCCTTGAATTCAGTTCACTAAATTGCTCAAGCCACCTCTATTTGAAGGCACTACGCGTCTTAGGATTTCCATGGCTGTGGTATAACATTGATCAAAAGCACTTCTGGAGGAAGTGTGTACTTTGCCTTCACTCCCTCATCACTATTCATCATTGAAAGAAGTCAGGCCAGGAGTACAAGCAAGGCAGGAGCCTAGATGCAGGAGCTGATGTGGAAGCCAGGCAGGGGAGCCACGTACTGGCTTTCTTTCCATGGCTTGCTCAGCCAGCATTGTTACAGAACTCAGGACCACCAGCTCAGAAGTGGAATCATCCACAGTGGTCTGGGCCCTCCCACATCAGTCACCAATTAAGAAAATGACTAACAGGCTTGCCTATAGCCAGATCTTATGGAGGGATTTTTTTCAAACGAGGTTCTTTCTTCTGAGATGACTCTAGCCTATGTCAAGCTGTCATAACAAACAGGTGATACAACAAGGAAGAACAGCCTGGGGAGATGGCTGAGTTGGTCAAGTTCTTTTCACATAATTGTGAAGAATTGTGTATAAATCCCCATGTAAAGTTAGGTGCTATAGTTTGCAACCACAAGCTCAGTGCTTCTACTGGGAGATGGCAGACAAAAGAGGGAGGCTCCTTGAATGCTCCTAGGCCCACTAGCCTGGCAGGCTTCATGGAACAACAAAGTTCTACTGTATATAAACAAGGTAGATGGTGAGGTTGCTCTCTGACTTCTGTGCATAGACTGGATCTATCACAGGCTTGGACACCCCCTTCCCCCCCCCCCCCCCCCCCCACACATCCAACAAGATGGACTGTACAATCTTTGAGACAACTCATGACAATACATGTGCTAATTTTTCACCCAACTTAAGCTGGTTTAAACTGCATCTGATCGGTTCTTCCTCCAAGAGCAGCAAAGCATGCTGGCTTTAATCCACTGTTAGCGAGGAGGATTCTTTGGGATTTGTGTTCAGCTCGTTAATGAGTGAGGCACTAATGGAGGTCTGACACAGAAGAAAGCTAATCATTATCGGTCGATTCTCCCCTGTCAATTATTAGCTGGTTTGAGTCTGTACTTTTTGTGTTATCACCAATGGCTGAGGCTGTTAAAACCAACACAGGCACATTATCTTTCTGGATTCTCTGAGTGTTCTGATGTTTTCTCCTCACTCACTCAGTGCTACAGAAAGGTGCAATACCCAGCCCCTTCACCATAGACCATTTTGAACACTGATATATAAAAATAGCAAACAGTGTCCAACAGGTCAGGAGGTTAATTTTTCATTTTCTCTCAGGAAACAACTACGTCATCCACCGTAACAGTTGTGAAGTTGAAGTCAGCCGTGTGGCCAATCGAGTCCTGGATGAGCTGGTTAGACCATTCCAAGAGATCCAGATAGATGACAATGAGTACGCATGTTTGAAGGCCATTGTGTTCTTTGACCCAGGTTTGTTTTCAAAATTGAAAAGTCGTAGCCTGAAACCTAAACTATTCTATTTCATCCTGGAGCCTGAGGAACTCCTAAGTGTGCATGTGTCTATTCCCTCACCAGATGCAAAGGGACTGAGTGACCCCGTGAAAATTAAGAACATGCGGTTCCAGGTGCAGATCAGCCTGGAGGACTACATCAATGACCGGCAGTATGACTCCCGAGGCAGGTTCGGAGAACTGCTCTTGCTGCTGCCAACACTGCAGAGCATCACGTGGCAGATGATCGAGCAAATTCAGTTTGTCAAACTCTTCGGCATGGTCAAGATTGACAACCTCCTTCAGGAAATGCTACTGGGTGGTGAGTGAACTGGCACATTTCTCTTATTGCCGAGCTTGACTGCCCATACATTAGAACAAGGTGCCCCCTTTATTTCCTTTGCCTAGTTACTTTATTACTTCGAGATTCCCATTCATTCCTCCTTTTGGACTTCTAACTGGGCATATAAAAACCAATTTGTTACATTTAGAAACTCTGCACAGCCTGAGCAAGAGGAAAGGTCTTGAACAGACTCAAATGCCCATTCTTTTTTTTTTTTATTTTTTGGCATCACTTGTGGGTACAGCCCCTTTGACTTCAGGTCTCAAACCTTTCCATGTGTGGTAATAGGATGTAGTCCTGCTTTTAGGGCACTGAGAAGTAAAGAATATTTATTTTTATTTTGTTCTTTAGCTTCTTAAGAATTCAAAAAAAATAATTTCTGCCTAGCCCATATATGAGTCACATGGCTTAAAAATGAACATATTGCTCCTGAAGGAATTAATTGACATAAACTAGTAGAAGAAAAAAGCTCTACTTCAGGGTTGCAATAAATGTCAGGAATAACTTAAGGAATCGTTATTTTGTGTTCTGGTTTAGATTAAATGTCCTTGTAAAGTCACTGTATTTATTTTTAGTTTTCTGGTACTTAATGTGTTCCTAATGATATCTTTCTGAAATAAAAGTTGTCCATGCCATTAGGGTGAATCCAAATACTATAAGCTTGAGGTAAGTGATTCTTGGAATTGCCTTAACAACAGGCAGAAAACCTAATGATTCCAGGAAACAGCACACAAGGTCCATTATTAATAGTCAACATTATGATATAGCATTCATTTTTTCCAATTCACCATGAAAGCTGACATTGTCTTTAATATGAGGGTAGCTCTCTCCATTTTTTTTTGAATTTTCAAAAAGCACTTTGCAAATAGCAGTATTTAAACTGTCACTGGAAACATGGATCAAGGTAAAGCAACAGTAAATGTCACTAATGCAAACGTTTATGTGTCTTTTGTAGGTGCTGCCAATGATGGTAGCCATCTCCATCACCCAATGCACCCACATTTGTCTCAGGATCCACTCACTGGGCAAACTATACTTTTAGGTCCCATGTCCACACTGGTTCACACAGACCAGATCTGTAAGTATCTGGGGAAATTTCCTTCTGTAATATCTCTTAACTTCAGTTATTTGGGGACATTATAACTTAGGATAGGAAACTGTTACTTCCAAGGAAATGCAGATCTTAGGTGGTGTTATTCTTTTGCTTAAATTAGAAATAAAGAAGATGAGACACAAGATGAGACATATTCACCAGTTTATTATAGGCCCAGCAGAGTAGAGAGACTAAGAGAAAAGAGGAACAGGGTTAATGGCTAATCACCATGGCTGGTCACAAGAGAAAGAGGCAGAGAGAGCATAAGCGAAGAGGCAGAGAGAAGAGAAGAGGGGCAGAGAGAGCTTAAATGGGCAGGATCTGTCTTTTAAGGGGGTCCTCTACACCTGCATGCAGAGTTAGTTTCCATGGAACCCTGGGCTGACTGTGGTACTGCCTGAGTGGATTCTGCCAGGTAACAGGCAGGACAGCATAATGCCTGAACCTTCCAGGTGGGATTTCTTCTACTGTACTTAGCTGTGTGAGAATTAAATACTCAGTTCATTACTTACTCTCTCTACATATGAATTTGGATCCCACATTGAAGATATAAAAACTTAAGTTTTCTATTCTATAAAGCTGGGCAGCATAAAGCATACTGATAGTTCCTGCCTTTTTGTCTGGTGTCAGTGTTAGGACCATACAAAAACAGCTGTAAAAATTGAAACCATACCAATAAATTGTAATAAACAGTTGGGTGAATATGGTCACTCATGACCTTTAAAATTGGCAGAATATTACAAACTCTTCACTACAGATTGAAAGGGTATAAAGAAATTGAGTAAAATAAAACTGTGATATTGATTTAGGTTACTCTAAGGGATCAGAAAGAGTGAGAAGTAACACACTGTGATTTTGTTGTAAAAATTATAACAGAGCAGTTTGAGCAGTCCTTGCTGACTCCTTGCGTCAGAAGAGTGTCACAATTGAGGGTGGGAGGGTGACCTGATATTATGGAGCGATAGATGAGGTGGACTACAGTATGCCATAGCCAATTTTACTCCGAGTGTGGCACATTTTGTACTTTGAGAGTTAAGAAAGGTAAGTAAAGTTCTCATGAGTTCAAGCTGTATACAATCACAAGGACAAATCACACATGGCAAAAACATGTTTTTCCCTAGAGTTATATAAAGGATAGTTTAAGTGTTTAATTGTTTAATTGAATAACAATAATAAGTGGTAACAAGTTATCTGAAGTAAACTCACTCCCATCCTCTCCACCTGGGAGGAGCACAAAACACATTCCAAGAGCAGTTTCACGTTTTGAAGAAACCTCAGACACAAGACACTTATCTTCTTTTCTTGGCGCTTTCTCACAAATGCTCAGGATTCTCCTCCTTGGACTCCATTCCTGGACCATATCCTGACAGAAAGGGAACATTTTGCCCTCATGGTGGTGGGTTTTACCCCTTCAGAAGCATTTTATCTTTTCCATGGTCAATGTTCTGAAGTAGCTGTGAAAATTTATTAGAACTTTTTTTTTCCCCCTTTGGTGATTTCATTTTCATCCATGGCTCTTTTTTTTTTTTTTTTTTTTTTTTTTTTTTTTTTTTTTTT